TTGTGAACCTCCATGTGCAGATTTCGTGGCAGGTGCAGCACTTTGTGCACCTCCATGTGCAGATTTCGTGGCAGGTGCAGCACTTTGTGAACCTCCATGTGCAGATTTCCTGGCAGGTACAGCACTTTGGGAACCTCCATGTGCAGATTTCGTGGCAGGCGCAGCACTTTGTGAACCTCCATGTGCTGATTTCGTGGCAGGCACAGCACTTTGTGCTTCCATGTGTAGATTTCTTTGCAGGCACAGCACTTTGTGAACCTCCATGTGCAGATTTCGTGGCAGGCACAGCACTTTGTGAACCTCCATGTGCAGATTTCGTGGCAGGCACAGCATCCGGGGAGCTGGAAGCTGAGAACTGGCGACTTTGTAGTACAACTTTAGTACGCGGAGTATGTGGCGAGCTGGACGATGAGAACTGGCGACTTTGTAGTACAACTTTAGTACGCGGAGTATCTGTGGAGCTGGAAGCTGAGAACTGCCGACTTTTTAGTACAACTTTAGTACGCGGAGTATCTGTGGAGCTGGATGGTGAGAACTGGCGACTGTCTAGTACAACTTTAGTGCGCGGAGCAATCTGTAGAGCTGGACGCTGAGAACTGACGACTTTGTAGTGCAACTTTAGCACGCGGAGTATCTGGCAAGCTGGACGATGAGAACTGGCGACTCATACACTACTCATCATACACTACTCCTCATACACCACTCATCATACACGACTGATCACACACCACTCATCATACATCACTCATCATACACCGCTCATACACCAGCTCAAGCTCCATGTGCAGATTTCGTGGCAGGTGCAGCACTTTGTGAACCTCCATGTGCAGATTTCGTGGCAGGCACAGCACTTTGTGCACCTCCATGTGCAGATTTCTTCGCGGGCACAGCACTTTGTGAGTGTCGAGGTGCAGATTTCGTGGCAGGCGCAGCACTTTGTGAACCTCCATGGGCAGATTTCGTGGCAGGCACAGCATCTGGGGAGCTGGAAGCTGAGAACTGGTGACTTCGTAGGACAACTTTAGTACGCGGAGCAATGTGTGAGCTGGAAGCTGAGAACTGGCGACATTGTAGTACAACTTTAGTACGCGGAGTATCTGGCAAGCTGGACGATGAGAACTGGCGACTTTGTAGTACAACTTCAGTACGCGGAGCAATCTGTGCAGCTAGAAGCTGAGAACTGGCGACTTCGTAGTACAACTTTAGTACGCGGAGTATCTGGCGAGCTGGACGAGGAGAACTGGCGACTTTGTAGTACAACTTTACTACGCGGAGTATCTGTGGAGCTGGATGGTGAGAACTGGCGACTTTCTAGTACAACTTTAGTACGCGGAGCAATCTGTAGAGCTGGAAGCTGAGAACTGGCGACTTTGTAGTACAACTTCAGCACGCGGAGCAATCTGTGCAGCTAGAAGCTGAGGACTGGCGACTTCGTAGTACAACTAGAGTTGTACTGGCGAACAGTGTAGTACGCGGAGGAGTCATCTCTCGCTGCTCGTTCATCTCTCGCTGCTGAGTCAGCTCTCGCTATAGCCATCTCTCGCGGCTGAGTCATCTCTCGCGACTGAGTCATCTCTCGCTGCTGAGTCATCTCTCGCGGCGTGCACGTTCAGTTCATACTGATAGTATTTGGTTGCAGTTATGCAGGACAGGACATTCAACTGCTGGTCAAGACACCACTCATCATACACCAGTCAGCATACACCACTCATCATACACCACTCGTCATACACCACTCAACATACACCACTCATCATTCATCACTTGTCATACACCCCTCAGCATACAAGACTCAAAAACCATAGTCTCAGAGTTCAAGACAGATTTTACATTCAAATTCGGATTCCATTCAGTCCGATGTGTGGTATGCAAGGTTTGCCGCCACTGAAGAATGCCACGGTGGGATGTGTGTTGATGTGGACCGCATCCTTGGCAAGTCGTGGTGGCCGGATGTGTGTCATCTCTCGCAGGGGGCACACACACCTTACACACGTGGAATCCCGTGGGTCAAAAGTCCGGAGCGCGTGCGTTTGACTGGAGGACGCGCATGTTGGAGAGAACGTGGGCACTCCTATAGGTCAATTTCTTCTTATAGCAAACTTCCGCCGCCGGCTTGCCCGGGAACTACTTGTATACCTGGTTGATCCTTGTGGTCAACTGAACATCGTCCCACTTCAGGCGGCATGAAGCGCGGAATGGAGTGGTTCTTGCGCAAGGGTTCTTGCAGAATGTTGCAAGACCTTGCTGGAGGTGTGAGACGAAGCTGTTCGCCCCCAAGCAGGACAGGTCAAAAGACACGAGACCGCGGCGGAGCAAAATGGCTGGTGTCTGACAAACTCTGCCGACCCCCAGTTCACAATTCTTGATTCTGAAGTGATGTGCCTGACTAACTCGTGTCTACAGGGCCACAGTAAGTCCCAAAGTTTTTGTATGCCTTCAGCCATCGCAAAGCGAGCCTGGCAGAGGGCAGTGAGACAGTACTATTATGAGGTCAAAGCTGACTTGCGGCATACTTCACCTTAGACATTAAAGCATTCAACTGAGACCCTCACATTCACATTGCACCGGGGTAACCTCTTGCTGTGAGAGCATAGTGGTGCTTTGCTGCATTCAGCATGCGATGAGGCCAAAATCGGTCGTGCTAACAACTAGGCAAATGATCGCGAAGTGTAGCTAGGATCCTCAAAAAGCTGGATTGTGCACAGTCGGGGCAGGAACTGTACACTCGTCTCTACCACATGGTTCATACATACTGGATGACAGCAGATGCCCAAGTCCATGAAGAATATGAACGGCAACTAAGCGCAGACAACCAGCATCCACCTGCCATTGCATTGCAGGCAGTTTGGGTAGCTGATGGCACGAACTACCTCAAGGCAAGTGGCTAGTTTCACATGATTATGTAGAGTTTGTTGTTTCCCTTGTGACGGTTGTGACGATGCACTGCTGAGCTTTCTTGGGGACAAGAGTTCGAATTACCTCATAAGAATTAGAGAAGACATTTCACATCAGATATCATCAGATGGATTTGGAGGGGACACCTATGGCCAATCACACGGAGGAGAAGCAGGCTCCGAACCATCGAGAATCAGAGAACAGCAAACTGGTACACAAAGGGGTGTCAATGGAGGTTCATGTCTTGATGATAGGCCTTGGCCACAGTCAATCATGTTGATGGGCATCCTGATGCAATGTCCTTCTCTCAGAGCAGACGTGCAGCTAGCCGACTGTTCAGCCAGTTTGTTCTTCGACAGTTTCGCGGCCAGGATTTTGCAGGTTGAGGACGAGCAGGTGAAGGCGCCTTTTATTCAGACGAACTTGTCCATTTAAATCGCTCCTAGAAAAGCTTTTCTCATTATGCAATAGTCATCGCGCCTGGCCATTTCAGGGCAGTTTCAATTGCAGTGTTTGGAGCTTTGGCTCGAAGATTTGCTTTAGCAACCTGTCGGTAGCAGCTCGATTTTGGTGCGCTTTTGATGCAATGACGGTTCCAGATGATGCCCGGGAACGTGCTACACAAGGGCGGATGGGACAGTTTAAAGCGACACACTCTCGTGCAGATGAAGCCGCGAGACTACATGCTGCTTTGACAATGCAGCAGAGCGACAATAGAGCTGAGAGGCTAGAGCACATGCGACGTGTGGCCATGGAGGCCCTGTTGGGCAGCAAGTCACAGAACGATTTGGAAGAGGAGGTCGAGATCCCAGATGACGAAGATGAGGATGTCGATGCATCAGGTGACATGGACATGGATGGAGGCTACAAGCATGGCAAAAGCAAGATGCAGAGGCTGCGTCGCTTGCATCGGACCTTGTTCTTTGCTAGGCAACTGCAAGTACCAGATTGGATGCTGGTGCCTCCAGATGATTTGGCAGCATCTTGGCTTGTCCTCGCAAAACCTGAAGGTGAAAGGTGTTTGCTTTTGTCCGAGGGAGGCCGCGTAGAGGTGCGCAAGAAGAATGGCTACGTTTTGGAGCGCTACACAGACTCGCGACTTGGCCGAGGTCTGACAATCTTGGATGTTGTTTGCATTGAAGGGCCTGCACAGCGGCAACCCATCTGCGGTACTGCAGCCACTCAAGAAGGCAGCCTGCTAAAGCAAACTATTTCAATTCAGCAAACTGCTTCAATTGAGGAAGCTCCAGCTGAAGACATGGGGGAAGATGAAGAAGGAGTCGAGTCTGACGAGGAAATGGGAGGCCAAGGTGGCAAGAAGGGCAAGGGCAAAGGCCGCCGCAGGAGACCGCAAGGAAACCGCAAATATGCCGTTTGCGATGTTTTGGTTTGGGGAGATGTCGATCTTGCTGGGACTGAAGCTGAATGCCGGCTATTTTGGCTGGAATCGCGGTTTCAGGAGATGCGAGAGAAAGCCCCAAGGCGTGCAAGGCCCTTGCAGCTGGTTCGTGCAATGCCAGCGACTGCAGAGAGTCTGAAAGAGCTTTACTACGGTGACTTTGGCTATCCCAAAGACTCTTTACTCTTCTTGCACCGAGAGGGTCGTTACCAGGTGTCAGAACCTGTGACCCCGGTGGCTCGCTTGTGGCGTGATGCCCACGTGAGCCGCTATGTGGTAGATACCCCAGATGAGAAAGGGGCAGAGTTACCACCAAAACAGTCCGTGGTACTAGAGATTCGTGGAGGTGGTCGCCTAAGAACAGCGGATCGGCATTTGGTTGCCCAGTGCAATGAGGATGAGCTGGCCAAGCTGCAAGGTGGACAAATCAAGCCGAAGGCTTTGGTCCGATGTGATGTTCGCAGCATAGACATCGTGAACAGACAGATGCAGGTGGTACCGGTAGCACATGTGGCAGCAAGATCTCGAGTTTGGGCTGACTCGTGGGCCCGGATCGTCTTTCAGCATTTGCATCGTGAAGGGCAAGGGTCAATGTTGTCCTTCGATTTGCTCTTGCAGTCAGCAAGGTGAAACTACAGCTCTTCAAACTAGCTCTTCGCCTTTGCCTGCAAGCTGTCGACCTCGAATGAAGCTCAAAGGTCAAGGGCGATTGTTAATGTACGGCATGGTGCGAATGTACAGTTCATTTGCCCCCGCCATTTGATCACTATGACCCGCGCCAGCAAGTGCTGGCTGGCTGGAAGGCGCCAGTCTGCCAAAAGGGGAGGATTCGGATGTGTTCAGAGTGTCGAAGATTGGCATGAAGGAGCTGTTCAACTTTCCCAGTTTGGATCATGCTGCCTGCAACAGGGTCCATTGGGTCATGTTGGGTCCGGCATTTGAGCCTTCTTCATTCGTGGCAGCGCATGTGCAGGTGGTTGATGAGTCGTGGCCCCCAGCTGCGATTTGCCAAAGTGGCGTGTCACAAGGCGACTCTAATTGCTGGCAGTGAGGCTGTGGCTCAAGTGGCTGGCAAAGAAGGGAAATATGAGCGTTTCTTGGATGCAAAAAGTGTGAGTTGTGCCAGCTTTGAAAACAAGACGATTAAGGTTCAGCTCACAGCGCATGAAGTGGTCGGTTTAAAAGCAGAAGTGGGCTACGAATTTTCCGCCAGCATCTCAGTGCAGTATATTTGTGAAACATGCGTATTGTTTGCTTGATTTGGCATATGGGCGGTCGTAAGCACAAGGAAGCCAAGCAGAAACACGCGTTTCAAGACCCCCCTTTGTTTTCCCAATCATTGGTCAGGTTCAAGCTTTGACAAAAGGTGGATGGCAAGCACCTCAGCTGTTGGAGCACGTCAGTGCCCTTGATTGCTGTCTTAGCCCTTTGATCAGATCGGGACATCGCCAGGACAGAATGGAGCACCCCTGGCTCCATACAGATGCCCCGAATCGGCTATGAGCAAGAGCAACTGGTTAGTCTCCACCTAAAACTGCAATGGTTGTTCTTGAAATTCATGCGATTCATACTGTCGTTTGCTGTCACTCGCTCACGCCCCTGCTTTGAGGCGAACGGAGAGCAAACGCCCTGTATCGTGCTGACTTGTTGCCTCAGGCGCTGCTGGATTGCGACCGGACTATTATATAGTCTTTGTGATTTCACTTCTTTTGAGCACCAGATTGAGTGGATTACAGCTGGCTCCAAGGCCTTGTACAAGGAGTATGAGAGGCCGGACTCGTGTGCGGCTGTGAATTCATGTCACTCGAGGCTGTGGCAGGTTCTAGATTCCGCACATGACTCCATGCAGTAGTTTTCAGGCAGGGGAGCCCGCAATAATAGTGCACCACGAGCTTACCAACTTCATGGTGGGAGTAATTTGGACCTAAAACCCTCCCGAATGCAAATTTACTGAATGAGTGCAACATGTGGAGAGAGAGGACATATCCCACTTACACAGCAACTTGAATAGACAACTAGATAACGAATAGAAACATTCGTTTAAAAGACACACGTCACACACACACTATATATATATACATATTAATAATGCATATTATCGATTATACACAGACATCTACATATATGCACACACACATACATAGACATGGGTAGTCTGCAGGTGCTGGGACTCTGTTGATGAAAGTCTCACAGCTGATCGGCTGGACAGAATCCACCAGGTCCTTCATGGCAAGAAGGAACTTTGCTTCGAGTGCTCGTGTGCTGCTTTTCCTTTCAACTTCATGTTTGTTTGATCAAGCAGTTCTTTTTTTGTGAAGGACATTCCAGAGCTGTATGCTTTGTGTGTGAGAGGAGTTGGCTGAAGAGTTTGATCATGAGCTTTCAAGATGGCTGGTGGACATGGAGGGTCCCATCCGGGAAAGCAGCCGCATGCTGGAGGTGGGACGGCTGCCCACCATTTCCTTATTCCTTTGCATTCAGCGTGAGGCAACAAAGAGCACTTGAAAGAAGCCCGATAGTTCACCACAGAATGTTGGTTTGGCAAGGCCGAAGCACGACTCCTATTGCGCGATTTGGTGAGTCGAAAGGCCGTTTGCCTACTTTTTTATGACTGAATGTTTGGGCAGTTTCCGACTTCTTCCTTTTTTCGAAGATTTCAGCTTTGAGGCAAATGTGAACTACAGAGATCAAGCAACAGGTCGTGTTCCGCTGACCTATGCAGGAATCCTAAGACTATTGGCAATTGGACATTACGACTTCAAATGTTCAGACTATTCCGAGGCCTGCGAATATGGATGGAAAGTGAAGACAGGTGTGATTGAGGTGCTTTACTTTACCAATTTTTTGCAACTAGTAGAAAAAGAACTATTCAGATTCATTCAGATTTGAACATGTTGAAATTCCTGCAGGAACTCCTGCTACTTCGAGCTGATGTCGATTCGATGAACGCGACTTGCATCAGACAAAGCCACAAAGGTCCAAGATGGTCGAAGAATAACCACGCTGTTCTCGCTCAGGATGCTCGACACACAGCACTTGGAATTGCGGCAGCCGGTGGTCATGCAAACATAGCCTCCTCCTGAGATTGTAGTTCATTGTGCTGATGAGAAGGTACTAAAGAAGACTCCTTTGGCCACCGAGCAAAAGATTCGTCAGTTGTTTTGAGATGTTTTCCGCGCGTGTAAGATAGAAACACGATTTTTGGATTTTGGAGGTAGAGGTTCTCTTGGCACATGGAGCTGATGCCACAATCGTGAGCTTGCAGGCAGCCTCAATCCTGAGAGAAAACATGAGGAAACATCATGACAACATATGAAAACCATGAAACATCTCATTGGTCATGCGTTTTTCTTTAAACACATATTGATGATGTCGTTTCCTTTTGTCAAAGTGACGGCCAGGGCGAAACCGCACTCCTTCGCGCGAAGACCGTCCGAGGCGCCGCGAAGTGTGTCGCCGAGTGTTTGCGTCGATTGAGCGCGTGGACCCGTCGACCTTCAAGGACCTCCCCCCCAAGCCTCGCGAGTAGGAGCGATCGGACGCTACTAGGAGCAAAGGGCATCGCTACTAGGAGCAAGGACGCTACTAGGGGCTCCTGGCCTTACTACTAGTAACAAGAAGCTCCTAGGAGCAAGTTTAATTAGAATCTAATTAGAATTGAAGCAAGAAGCTCCTAGGACCTTCAAGGACCCCCCCAAGCCTCGTGAGTGAGCACAGCGACAATGAGCATGCTCAGTTTGGAGACCTGAGGCAGCCCGAAGATAGAGGGTTGATCAGGGTTGTATTCCCGGGATCACTTTTGATCACTTTTGAGCGGTCTTTGTTGTTGCTGGTGGTTTGTGTATAGATGACTCGTGACATCTACTGAGTCGTGCTGCTTTGCTGTGTTCAGGTATGACTCATGGGCAAATCAAGGGTGTGAACCGCTGCAGGCAGTGCAGTATCAATGAACAGCTAATTCCTAAAGTCCTAAAACTTGACCCTAGAATGCACTAGAGCATACAAACTGGTTCAAGCACCTATGAAGAGGGCAAACCATATTGAACATATTGCTCGTGCAACTTACATCAACTTACCCATGCAGAGAGTGAGCTCTCCTGGAGGGACCTTCTTAGAGACAGCCGGCTGCTTTGGGAAAGCTTTGAATCTGCCGTGGCAAATCTGGCGGATGACCCCGTTGCAGCTGCTCGAGCCTTTCTGGACTCCGCGCAACAGCAACAAGATCTTTCTTTCTTTAGCTGCACCAATGGCTTTAGTAGAAGTGTGTTGCAGGCTCGGAATTCTGAGCATTGATTGTCAGGAGATTGCTTTCCCGAAAGGGTCCTGGGCCAAGTTCTTGTATTGCTTTTCTGAGAAACGGCATACTTTTGAGCAGCCTGACCGGCAGCAGGCCAATGCAGGCCATTGTGGCTTTGTGGTGTCATTTCGCCTCACAAGTCACGCCTTCCACTGATGAAATGCTCCCCCCATCCCGCTCTCATACTGCACTGCTCACTTGCACCTCAATGTGCTTCCCACCAAAGACTTTGTCGATGATGGTGCTTGAGATTTTGGCTAAATCTCAAGCACCAGGTTGACGCGAGCGATTGTTCAACTCCCCGGATGTTCAAAGGTGAAACTGTTTGGGCAAGTGCCGGACTGGGCACATGCTGAGAATTGGTAGCACTGAAATGGGGAGAGCTAGGGGAACTGTTTCCATTCGTGTATCAAGTGCATCACTACTTTGATTCTCATTACAGTGTCGTTTTGTAGTTTTGAATGGTAAGTTGTCATGCTCACGAGGAAAGCTGTTCAATGCCCCTAGCTGAGGCCCCAAAATATGTTTGTGGCCGACAAGGAGGGGAGACGGATCTCTCGGCATGACAAACTTCGTCTCTATGAGTGGGGGCCTGCAATGCCAAGAGGGCTCCTTTCCCCAATGCTACGGAAATCCACCAAGGCAAATCCTCGAAGTTCGTGAAGTCGAAGATGGCTTGGAAGAGGCTTTGGGAATTCGATCACCTTCTATCGCCCCTTTGAATATCGACGTAAACCTCGCGTGCAGGGAGAACGGCGAGGCAGGATGTGCTTGGCGCCAAGAACCTGCCTGGGAGGATTTTTCTACAACTGGAGGCCTTCCGTATTTAGTGCCACAGCATGTAAGTTAGCATTCGAGGTGCACACAAGTTGCTGCTCCCACAGGTGGGATTATGGGTCAGAAAGTAGAAGGTTCACTCAGGGCTTCTTTGGTGTCAGGTTAGTGCAGCTACCCTCCAGTCTGGAACTCGAAGTTTAATTATTGATGCAGTCTCAGGGTCTCAGGTCTTTTCTTGTAACATTCGCTCAGCCCGCCTGCAGGCAGCCACCAAACACAGAGTAAGACCCTCAGACCAGGGCTTGCAATGCGTGCAGCTTCAGATTGGCCGGTAAGCTGCCAACATGCATATTATATGGCACTCATAAAGTGAGTGCTCCATTGGGTCAAGGTGCAATTACTTTGCACGCTACTTGCTCCACAGTGGCATAATGAGATGGTGCATGAGAGAGGCGACTTCGGGACTTACGCGCCCGAGTCGGAAAGCAACACGGCGAGACATGGGAATCGCCCAATCCATCAACGCTCCTACGGGTCGCGGTTGACAGTACGGGTCGCCTTGTGGAAGCGGCGGGCACGGGCTTGGGAGTGGAAGATGATGGAACATGGATCTCACCCCCGGTGTCGGTGTTCTAGGCAAACGATAACAAACGTCACGAGGCATATGTAGATTCCCATGCTTGAGTTGAAAAGACAACTTTTGCCTGCGGTTGCCTTTGGCCTTTGGTTGAAGAATAATTAGATTGAATAGACTTTTGCTTGACATTCAGTGTAGCCTTGAGTGCCGCCATGCTACACAGTGACGAGATGCTAATGATTTTTACGTTGCTTGCAGCTGCATTAGCTGCCGCTCTTTTTGCCCCGGCAGTGGGCACAATTCCCTTCTTCCGATGGGAGAGGATAGGCAGGAAAATAGGAGACAGAGCGGAGGAGCATTGCGAGGTGCCGGCAATAGCCTCTCCAGGCCACACAGACAAAGAAGAAGCTGTCATTCGAGAGCTGCGGGAGCGACTTCAAGGTGCTGAGCCTTGTCCTGAAGGACTTCTTGCTCAATTGGCATGGTCACGAGCCTTGGACGTTGATGCAGCTGCAGACCTTTGGCGAAGGCATCTGGCCACGGCCAGAGAACTGAAGATCCAAGATGTCAGTGACGATTTAGTTCGGAGAGCGTATGACGCTGGCTTCTGCGTTCGTTCCGGTGTTGATGTGGATGGCCGACCAATGATTTGGGTTCGGCTAGCTTTATCAGTACCTTCAACCATGACCGCTTCACAAGTTGTTAAAAATACCTGGATGGCGCAAGATGCGACTTTGTGCAGTGGCATCGACGCAAATCGGCGCGGCATTTGTTTCGTGTATGATTTGAAAGATGTTGGCTTGCGAAACGTCAGCTTTGACCCACTCGCTTTGCATGCCGCGATCAAAGGTGCCTTGAGTCATCCTTGCCATATATCTCGAGTCTGGCTCCTTGATGCACCACGCATCTTTTTGCTGACCTGGCAAGCCTTCAAGCACTTTGTCCCATCAAGCATCCGGCAGCTGGTGTGCTTTGCTGAGACTGGCCCAGGACGCCGCAAGATCTCTCAAGTTTGTTCAGCCAGTGAACTTCCCGTCTATTTAGGTGGTCCACCATGCTTTTCACAAGCGTATTGTGATTGGATGTTCGAACAGCTGCACGGGAGACCACAGGCATATCGGGTTTCAAAGCTTCAGCTACCAGTGCCTTCTCGGCGAATGAGGGGCCGGTCAGGAGCTTGCTACGTAGGTCTTCGCAAGGTGCTGCGATGTAGTTGCCTGGCTTGAAAGGCGGTTTTGGTTGCATTAGCGGCCCGAGTGTACAGCATAGACTATATAAAATGACTATAGATTCCTTCTCGCAGACAAGACTAAGACTGAGCTGCTGGCATACATGTTTCACACACAGAGCCGGTTGAGTTAAAGTACTCCCGCAGCACCACCCTACCAGCAGGCAACGGCTTGTGATTCGAAAACAAGACATCAAGTCACTTGACTCGTCGGACGGAGCGACTTTCTTCTATTGTGTCCTTTACACTTTCAAGCGGTTCAGGAAGCATTGATGCAGAACTCTTGTTTCTTGACATTCTTGATGTGTGCAGGCCAAAGAGCTCGCATCAAGCCTTCTAGCTCACTACGACAAGGCCACTGATGTGCAAAGTGTTCAAAGGTTTTGGCTAAATTGACATTTGCACTTTGATTTATCGTAATGATTCACAAAGGCCTTCCAAGTTGCACATACTATAACCGTAGGGAGCATTCCAATCACTTGGTCATGCGCAAAGGGCAAGAACGGCTAAACATACTGATTTGATACTTCCAACTGCGAATTGGTTGAGCAAATGTCGTGTGTCAGGTTCGTACCGACTAGAGCTCTCAGACTTAAAATTGACTAGCAACATCCAGTGCACCGCAACGTGCATCCATTCAATGCATTTGTGGTTTGTTTCCGCACCCTTCAATTCTTCAAGAATTTTGTGTGTATCACTCGTTGTGCATGGCGGTACCCCTTTCCACTAAGACAGCATACTAGACACGGCCCTGTTTGTGCACATCTGAACCAGTACTCTCCAATTGAACCACTTAAAAAGACCCTCTACTCTACTCAGCAAGTAGTCTTTGGGTGGCCCGATTTTGGAAAAGGTAGGCCCAGAAGAAAGCGATAATTAGGGAAAAGAAGCAATCGATAAGCCACCATTCAGTTGCTATGAAACTTCTTGTTGTTCAGTTAGAGATTTGCCTTTTTGGCTTCCAAGTTGAATACCCAGCCTAGAAGCACAACAGGTAGCCCCCAAAGTGAGTTCACAGTGAGACAATCATGTTTGATTGTTGTGCATTCATTTGTGTAGGGTATTTGGACCTTTAGCTGTTAGGCTTTCTGTACAATGCAACCCTCAGAGGAAGGTAGCACAAAAGGACATGAAAGCAAATGAAAGGAAAAGGCAACAAGTGAAAGGACATTAAACTTACATTATGTACAGTAGAAAGGAGAACGGGTGCAAAGCAAACATGAAAACCCTCAGAATGAATCTTGCTACCCGATATACATTCTTGGACGCTCAATGGAAACGAAAGGGAATGAAGTGAGGAAGGAATTAAAAAGGACACATGACAACAAGAGATGTGCAAGGATGCAGGTGCAGCTTGGGTACAAAGTTTTCGGTCCATTGATGTGCTCATTGGTGGTGCCCCATTTTTGGGGAGGATCTATTGACATGCTCTTCAGACAACCCCCGCAAACGGTTATGGTAGTAAGAGATAACCCCAAAAGACACCTCTTCAAAGTCCACAAGTCTTTCTACATCCTCAATTCACATGCCAAAAGCATCCACGCTGCATTTGAGACACTTTGGTAGCTGAGGAGCTGCAGAAAAGAAGGTCTGCTTTGAGGAGGTTGCCGCGGCTCACAGATGAGGCAGCAACTTATGAAATGATTTCGGATGCAAACATGCTATACATGGCTCGACTCCGCTCCTCAACAGATTCTAGCAACTCGCAGGCAGAAATACTGCTGGGCAGCAGGCCGAAGTTTGCAGGTCGCTCACTCCATCAGTGGACGGGAACTAAGACCTCTTTGGCTTCCTTGCTGACGGCAATTGTAGGAAAACTCTCAAACATACAGTTGCAACAGCTCTTGATTTCGACAGTACTAAGGCATGCCCACGACGACTTGCCATGGTTGACAGAGCAAAATGTTGTGGGAACCTTTGAAGCCGCGAGCCCAGCAAAAGAGATGCACCACCATCAGAGACAGAGAGAGAGAGAGAGAAAGAGAGAGAGGCACTGAGACAATATAGCGGAGACTGTAGGCCTTTGAAGAGAGCACTGTCAGAGTGTTTCCGGGACTCTTGCAATAAGCGAGCTAGGGAGAGAGGACCAAAGGCGTAAAGACCAGCTCTGCACCTGAACATATCCGACCGTAGTCGATTCCAGACTCCATATATATCGACATCATTCAGGCACTCGTCCATTCTGGAGCGATTGTGAGCATGGAGGATGGCAGCGTTGGGTCACGATTGCGGTGCTGTGCGTGGTTGGGCCAGTGACTTTATTGTTGAGCACTGCAACTGCTCTGGCCATGTCATGAGTTATGATGAGCCATGATGGGCCGCAATAATAAAAGCCGTACTGTATAAGTTCAAGTGCTGAAGTGTTGCCGCGTCCTGTCCTTGTGACTCTGATCGACTCTGCAGAATTTGGCTCGAGTGTGTGCTCCTATTTTCCGGATCCTTCAGAGGAAGTCAGGAGGTCATGGTGTCTCAGAAGTCTGCAAGGTGAGCGACTGCCAGCCCGAAGTAACCTGACGTGTGAACGTTTCAAGTAGCTGTAGCTTCAACCTTCTGTGAGAATCAAGCTGTCACTTCTCATATAGCTCAGTTGTTTCAAGAGCAACGTGTGTGCGATCCTGTGGGCAGGAAGCTGGTGCTAGCAATTCTGGGAGCTGTAGTGCTACACAGCATCAAAAGGTCCGATTGCCATTCGTGACACGTGCATTGCGAGTTCACACGTTTGTTCGCAAAAAAAAGGTGTTGCGTTCATTCATGCAGGTGGTCAGCATCAGCAGAAGCTGAGAGCTCTGCGACATTCAGTACCCAAGCAGCGATTGACTCACATGATCATTGGCTTTTGCAACTGAGTGGGCGAGGAGACTGTGCGGTGCATTTGCCACACCCGGCCCCGTTGCTTTCCACACCACGACTCGACCCCGCCTTACGCGATCAAGACGTGATGGTAGTGTTGCATTTTGAACTGTCAACTCCCCTCGCTTGCAAACAACTGAGGGAGAGTGAGGCCCCAAAATCAAAACCAACATAATTCTTGTATAATATCGCAATAATAGCAGTAGCTGTGGCAGTAGTAGTAGTAGTAATAGTAGTAGTGGTAGTAGCCTTAGCAGCAGCAGCAGCAGCAGCAGTAGCAAAAGCTTAGATTTTTCAGGGCCAAAATTCCAGCATTATTTCAACTACAAACAGTTCATGTAACTCAGTCCCAGTCATTCTGATGAGTTTGAATCAGGTTTTGTGACAAAGGTTTCAGGTCAGAGTTTTAGGGCTCAAGCAAGATCAAGCAAGAGCTAAGCAGAAACTAAGCAAGGATCTTAAAGGGGAAAAAACTGAACAATAGAACGCAAAGCTGAAACCAAATCAAATACACATACTCGATTTAATTTAAAGCACACCCCAGGCAAATTTGTTAAATTCCAGCCCCAAATCATTGCAAAACTATTTAGGGGTTTGGAACACCTTTTGTTTGATTTATTTGCCACTCCCACTTGATTGTTTATGACCCGACATTAAGTGACACAATTCTGATGGCTGAGGCTTGCCACAGGCAGTGCGAAGTGCTGCAGCTGCGAGCATGGTGGCTTCAATGCTGGCCTCATCTCCGGCACTTGCTGAGGAGGCCTGCGCCCTCCTTGCCATACATGCGGGCTTGAAAACTGACGCCCTTCTTCACAAGACCAATGCATGTGAAGAATTATGGAGAGGGAGATGAGAGATAGAGATGGTACTTTATGTGTGGATCGTACATTTGTGGCGTGAAAACTGTCTGGGAGTCTGGGTTGTACATGAGTATGGATTGTTCTGTGAGAGATGAGTGTGGATTCATTTTGTGGTGTGGCTTTCCCTGTCAGGACGGCCTGAAATCCTTGGAGTCGAAGTTGAACGAGCGAGACCAAGGCATTGAACGGCTGACCGAGGAGAAGCTCCGACCGAGGATGCGACTCTCCGAGGCATCGGCGCGACTAAACATGATTAAATGAGGACTAGACTAGACCGAACAGAATTATGAATTAAATTGAATTAAGGTGATGTGTGTTTCTTTTTTTAATGCTTAGGGTGATGTGCTGTGTTTTGTTTTTCTGAGTAGTTCTTGAGTAACCATTCAGGTTGCCATGTTCTAATCCATGTCCAATCCAATACCCCAGATTATTCGTACACGAACTACTCTGTTTTTCGACCCCTGCTTACTCTATTATACATACGTGCTTAAGGGTGTCCAAACTTATATTCAACAATGCTGCAATTTGCCATTTTGTGTTTCCTATATAATATATATATATATATATTATATAAATATGTTTTTATTCATCCGCTCCATTCTATCGCATTGTTTGTAGTGCAAATGCTTTATTTCTTTCAACCCCCTTGAAATAAGGGGGTCCAAATTTTTGGCATCCATGCCTGCAACCTGCAATTTGCATCAATTTGCTATTCTATCTCTTATATCGGTAATACAAGCGATCATGCACTCTCCCCCATGATGCACTTGCATCCTTTGCATCACCATATCCATGAAAGGCAAACAACGACTCCTTTGTGCAAGCATACCGGGGCATGCCACTTCATGCCCTACTACACCCTGCACTCCCAGATCACAAGTAGCAGCTACAACACCTCCAAAATGTTGCAACACATTGCGTTTCCCTGTGATTTTTTTGCGTGTTTTCTCCCGCCACCACCACGATCCCTGATATGCAATTCCATTCCCAACCCCCAAGTCAAGCTAAAGCATATCATAGCGACGAACGCGCCACAACTCAATCACGCCCTTACCTTCGGTGCCAGCAGATTGCTAAGCGTTCAAGTACCGTCGAAGTTGATAATCAGGTGGAGAAGCTGGAGCGTGAGGAGATCCAGACAGCACGAAGCGCAGAGCGTCTGAAGGTGCAGAGCAAGTGTTTGATTCTTGAAGGTTGACAAGTGATGATAGCCGTACAAGTCAACTATATGTGCGAGTGCCCTGGTCCTGTCCTGGTCCACCATTTGCTGATATCTCAGTGTGGGCAGGAGAAGCAAATTGCTGCAGAAGAACAAAAGGCGAAAGAGCGCGCAAAGGAGATGGAGAGGAAGGAGAAGGTGGGAAGGGAAGGGAGGGGAGTAGGAGGATGCAATATAGCTTGACGGACTAAATGAGAAAGACTAGGTGACTAGGCGCGTGGATTCTGTGCAACGCGCCAGACGAGGGCGAGAGGTGGCCGGAAGGGCTGTAGGCAGAACGGAAGGCGGAATACCATGAACGGGCCTGTAAGCCTAGGCAGCTTGAGAACTCTCTCCATAAGCACCTGTCCTTTAGCTGCCTTTACTCATGAAAGGTATTGAAAACGGCCAACAGGCCAAAACTGCCTTTGCCATCAACTTCAAATCCTTCTTCAACTCTGCTCCTGTCCTTTCATGTCCTGTGCTGAATTGCCTCAGGATTCAAGTCACACAGCTTGGTGTCAGCATGTTCCTAGGGTGTGCTTTGAGTCAAGGGCCCTCACACATCCAGGCTCAGATCGAGAAGGAGGAGAAACAAGCAAAAGACAAGATTCAATCGGAGCTGGAGGCAACCAAGGCCAATATCCAGAAAAAAGAAAAGCAAGCTGTGGAAGAAGCCCGCCGAGTGGAGCGGGATGAGAAGAAAGCCGCTCGAGAGATGGAGAAGCAGGCTTTGCAAGCAAAGACCGATAAGGATCGCCTGGCTGCAGAGGAGGCCAGTGAGACGGCTTTCAATGCCGCAACAGAGAAAGCAGAGAAAGCAATTCTTGAAGCTCAAAGCATCTCAGAAGAAGAACTGACCAAAGCCCTTGAAAAGGCAGAGGACGCACGTACGGCGGCTGCGGAAAAAGCAGAGCTGCTGGAGAAGGCAGCAGTTGAGAAGTTTGAAACTGCGCTGAGCCAAGCAGCAGAGACGGCTGAGCGTGCAGAGAAGGATGCAGTTTTCGAGGAGGAGGCAGTTGAACAGGCTGTCGTTGAGACCGTGGATGCTATTGAGAAGGAGGATTTGCTTGAAGAGAACCAACTCCTGGAGAAAGCCAAGGTTGCCTTGTCTGCCGGATGGACTTTTGCGGCACCGCTGGTGATCCCAGGAATCTTTATTGCGCTCTATGCAGTTCTTGCCAGCTTTTCAGCACCACCTCCAGAGCCTTGCTTGGGAGCAGAATCTGAGGAGACGCGAAAGATGATGGGCAGACAGGAGCGTCCCAAAACGTCCAAAGCCAATATGGATCCATGGAATGATGAGAAAAAGAGGATGGCGGCAGTTGGCTCAGGTGCCATGGCTGTGGCGGCTGTGCTGATGTCTTCCGGCCCCGTCTCTGGCTTCGTGAGCCCTTCTTCTGCCAAATTGACATCACGAAGTGTGCAGCGCATGGCGGAGGGGGCAAAAGCCCAAACAACCCCCGAGCAGTCCTCGAAGCCTTCAACCTTTGGTCGAGCTACGTTGGCACAAGGAGCGGTGGCCGCAGTAGCTGTGGCTGCAGTACGAAGGCGAAGTGTTGGCTGCCTGGCCAAGAAAGCGTCGAAGGTCATCCGCCTGGCAACAAAGGCAAAGTCCAGCAAGATCACTGGGGCAGACCCTTTGCATGTGATCATCTCCGGCGCTGGAGTCGGGGGCTTGCTGTTGGCCAAGGCCCTCAGCAAGGAGCCCACAATTAAGGTGACCCTCCTTGAGCAGGCAGGGGAGGGATGGAGGGGACTGGATCCACGGGTTAATGTTAAAAGATGTTTTATTGCAGTTCTGCAAGCTTGTACGTGTGAAGGTCAAGACGGATACAAAATCTTAAGACTTTCCGACTTCAGTGAGTTGCTAGGCCAGCTCTTTCCAGCGATTTGGTGGGCCCATTCAACTGGCTTCGAATGCCTTGTCCACAATTCGTGACATCGACGAGGGGCTTTTTGAAGAGTTGATGAAGAGGTTCACCTTCACTGGTTACCGCCGAAACGGTTTGGTGGATGCCCTACGGTCGGAGTGGTATTGCACGTTCGATGCCATGAAAGATGCGGCAGATTTGTTCGACCTGCCCTATACCGGGGTGGTGGACCGTCCTGATCTGCAAGAAATCATGCTAAAAGCGATTCCTGCTGGCTGTTTGTCAAACTCGCAGAAGGTCTCCAGGTATGAGGTGCTTCCCAACAACGAGGGTGTGAAAGTCTTCACTCAAGATGGTAAGGAGTACCAGGGTGATGTCCTGATCGGTGCAGATGGCATTTGGTCAGCTACCCGGGCTCAGATGTGGAATGAAGACCAGAAGGGTCCTAATTCTGGATGTACCTACAGTGGCTACATTGTTTTTGCTGGGGAGACGATCTACAAGCCAGAAGACTACTTTGACGTTGGCTACAAGGTCTACATGGGGCCAAAGCGCTATTTTGTGACTTCAGATGTTGGCCGCGGGCGAATCCAATGGTATGCCTTTGTTGCAGTGGCTGAAGGTGAGGAAGTGCCATCAGACCCACTTGAGAAGAGAGAATATGTGAAGGCGGCCTTCCAAGGATGGTCTCCACAAATCGCTGACTTGCTGGACGCAACTCCTGCGAACACCGTGGAGGATCGGTCGTTGTACGACCGCCCGCCCAGTCTCTTCAAGTCATGGGCCAAGGGACCTGTGGCATTGCTCGGTGATGCTTGCCATGCCATGATGCCCAATTTGGGCCAAGGTGGAGGTCAGGCAATGGAAGATGCCCATTGCATTCTGCAGAAGCTCAAGGACCTCACAGACAGAAGCCAAGTGCCAGATGCTTTGCAGGACTACTATCGATCGCGTATCCTGCGAGCTTCTGCAGTCCAAGGCTTGTCACGATTGGCATCAGACATCCTTTTGGGCACCTTCACTTTCCCATGGAAGCCGGAGGAGGGGCTGTCTGCACCTTACGGCAAAGGTCGTGGCGACGTCAGCTACGAGTCTGTAGTCGTCAACTACCTGAAATACATTCTGCCCGCCACTTTCACCGGTCAATTCACTTTTCTGTACTCATTCCACCCCTTCAAGTGGACCAAAGATGAAGTGCAGAAACTTGTGGAAGAGGTCATGGATCGCCACAAGATTGAAGCCCATGATGCCTGGCAGCGCAGACAACAAGCTGTGGAGAAGGGCGAGGCACGGGAATTCCTGTGCAGAGCACATGCAAAAAGGTCGGAAACGGACTGACCCTGTGTCATTTGTATCCTATAATAGCTTTGCGTAACAAGTGATTTGCAGGTTGAGAAATTTGAGGAAGAATGCAGGCAAGAGTCCTTCTTCGCGCCACTTCGATTGAATAGGTGCATCCTGCCCTGAACTGTTGTACCACGCAAGTCTTAACGAATCCAATCACCCAAGGCTGGTTGCACAGGTCGCCGGTGGCATTGACCAGAAGTGAGCACGTTCCATCCGGTGCTGGACTGTCTTGTTCAGCATTCAATTAGTTGGGCAAAGGCACCAGACAGGCCCAAACAGAGTCCAAACGTGCAATTTTTCACCTTCCAGCTTTGCAGCCTGGATTGGTCAGCATACTTTTTCATTGCATCTGCCAAAATGGCATGATTTGCAAAAATTCAACACCTGGAGGCCCGGAAAAGTCTATTTTCTTTTGTAGGCCCAAGACAAAAGCAATCATGTACCCACGAAAAGAGCATAGCATTACAGTATGTACATCTATGTGACATGCTTCATCAATGATTTGATTTGCTGGTGCACGGCCATGTCCTCCGGAAACTCTTCGCAACTCTAATTAGTTGCCTTTCTTCAATAGATTGGGAGGAGGTCAAGACCGTTCAGACCAGAGCGATGTTGTGTGAAAAAGTTGTGCACATTGTTTCTCAGGATGTGAGGATGTGGAAGAGAATAATTTCCTTGAAAGTAAGACGAGAAGCATGCTGCTGAATTATTAATACTGCATTGAATGAGTTTCTATCTTCTATTTTCGCGGGGGTTGTGATAGTTATGAAAGTTTCCAACACCACCATTCCCAGGATTTCTGCAGCTGGGTTGGCGAACTGAATGCTCAGTTTCAGCCTCATAGGCTGAAATATTCACACCCAGATCATGTTCAGGTACATTCAGCTTGGGTTGTGCCAAGGGAATTGAAATGCCACTTGAGCAGCGCTCATAGCAGGGCGTACCAACAACACTGCCATCGCCAAGGATATGTGCAAGTGATGGCCTGCAGGCGTCAGTGCAGTCTGGAGCCTGAGTCAGCATGAGCCAGCCACCCGCCTGCGAGTGCGACTTTGTGTGCTTCCAAGGCTGGGTGCCTGGGACAAAAGGCTGCCTCTCTACTTCTGGGGCAGTCGGATTCTCACGGGAAGCATGTCTCTTCTTCAAGAGCATCTGCCGATCCGCCCAGGTGCATACACCAAATTCCTCATGGGCGAGGTGCGAATGCATCGGTCCAAAATATGAGGAAGCGCTCAACCACTCAACCGTTCTGTAGGCACAAAGGGCCGCTCGTATTTTTCACCCAATCGCCTTTGACCTAGCACGTCGAGTTGGCAAGGCCAGCTGGGCTTACTGGATAACAAGCGGGTGCAGTTTGATGTTTGCTTTCAACATGTTTCAACTATGTCTTTGAGTTCTGCGGCGTGGCAGGTGGAGTACCGGGATGCGCCAAACAAGCAGCCATCGCGAGTACTGAAGAAGCAGTGCGCCATTCAGACAATTTAAGACACGCAAACCTCGCTGTGAGGCACTCCAAACTATATTTGTTGGGAAGTCCACGGGTAAAGAGTGAATGGAGAGGATTAATTATAGTAGCTACGCAGCTACAGTCAATTGTACTATGAGCTTTGCCAATAGAATTGTCAAGCATGTTTGTTAATTACTAGCACACTGATCGTGTTTGTGCCTTGAAGGTCTCAAGGTACAACAGGTAGATTCAAACAATGACAGTCTAAGCCCAGGCTGTCACCTTCATACTTGCACCAGGTTCGATTATGCGTCCACCGGCCTGACACTCCTGCACGAGGCTGGTTAAAGATCATGCTACTAATTTTAGTTAAATTCTAAATTCTAATGCAAATTAATTCTATTTTAAGTTATATATATTTATTGTTTCTACTCGCTTCTTGTTCCTAGTAGTATGGCCAGGAGCCCCTAGTAGCGTCCTTGCTCCTAGTACTCTACCCCCTGAAGAACGGCTCCTTTTGGGCGCCGGTGTTTGCCAACGACCAAGGCCCTTGACTTGATGAAGGGGAAGTTCAGGAGCCTTGGGTTTTTTGAGTCACGAGTCTGCCATTGGGATGTCATAAACGGAAAATGAGTCAAGAAATGCCAAAGATAAGTCACCATACAAATACCTGGAAGGGCATTGCTCAAACCATCGCTTGCAACAGCGAAAGTGCGATCAGATGACTCGAAGGAGTCCTGTACAGCTGAGATCTTTGCGATGTTTGCTTGCCATGAGCCTCTTGTGCTTGCTTTGGGACGCGCTAAAGCTGATTCCCGATCTCCAGAGCCATAGTGGCCATAGTCCAAGCAACTTCCTGCAAAATGTAATATCGGAGACGCCGGACCTAAGCGGTGACCGTCGACAGAAAGCGGCCAAGAGGCTGGCAGAAGCCAAGTTCGCATTGGAGGAGGCTGTCGAACTTCGAGAAGCAGGTGTACCAGGCAAAGGTATTTGGTACAAAGTGGTCACTGATGGCGAAGACGGCATTGGCATTCGGAAAGCACCTCGAATGGATGGACCACGGGTGGAGGATTTGGTGCGCGGGACGGTCTTTGAAGTGGATGACATTGTTCAGAAAGAGGGAAAGCCAGTCTGGCTTCATCTGGAAGATGGTCGCGGCTGGGTATTTGATTTGACCCCAGTTGATCCGGACACGCCGACAGTTGTGAGAATAGAAAATGCATATGATGATGGTAAAACCATTGAGGAACTTGAAGCTGATGTTGAAGCAGCAAGGTCAGAATTCGACAGGATCCGCGGAGGAAAGCGAAGCTCCTCCTGATTTTTTGTAGTTGTTTGCTGGATTTTGCACGAAATTCCACGGGGATGTCCTGTTGTGACCTCGCATTTGCCAGCTTCTACATCAAAAAGTCTGAAGAAGGACGTGTTGCCCTGTGCCAGTATGGCCACGAACAGACTAGAGTTCAGAACAGCGCAGATCTGCTGCCTTTGTATATGTGAGGAAAGCCTACCGGGCAGATCTGCTTGGCGCCAAAACCTTCGAGGCGTCGCGGAGACATCGTTTTTTGCCATAACTAGATCGAGTTGATGTTCATTTGAAGCCAGGATGTCAGCGATCCAGATCCCGAGAAAGGCCAGTGATGTCCAAATACTGTGTAATTACAGTACAGTCGCACGGAACCGCAGATGGCGGTGCCGTAGCACAACGGCTTGCCCTATGTTGTGTGAGGGCTAAAACCGGCCATAATTTTCCTGCACTAGGTGCTGCCTTGATACTTGGACGGAATGGATCCCAGCTCCACGTCGCTTTAGAGGTGTGGACTATGAACCTCTCACACATGATCCAACTTATATGGGATTCTTTCATATTCTTTCTGTTTTTGCGCTTTGATGGTCTTTTTTGCAAGATGTTTTTCAAACGACGTGTTTCGTGGAGAATGCAGACTCGCACATTCTAGTGCGTTTTTGCCAGGCCGTCCTGGATGCTTCAGCAGAGTGCCAGGACATTTTGGTTATAGTGCAACCAGAGCCGGGAGCTTGCCTGACATTGGTTGAATCATTCCGACTGCACCACGTGTTGTTCCGGCATTGGTTGAGTTGATGACCGGACCTTCTAGGCTGGAAGTGCCCCCCTTATCAGATCAAGAAGGCGTGATGCAGATGTGTGGAGAAACAAGGGACCAGGCATAGCCAGGCAAAACGTAGTTGCCCTTTTCGGACTTTGTATTTGACACTGTATCATCAGAATGGCCAGAGCCCAATATCCACAACGACACCCACACAGCTTGCTTGAGAGGGGGCGACTCTCCGAAAGATGAAAAGGCATTTGCCGAAGAGACGTTGCTGGCAGCAGGTGAGCAGTCAAGCCCATGCATGTTCGACTGTACTACACCAACTAGAGCTCATCGCGGTGCTGCAGGCGCTACTGCTGTCATCTTCGTTGATGGACGTGTAGATGGCTCCTCTCAAGCACGGAGGATGGCAACGTTGCGGCAGCCGCTGCGGCGGCGCTCTTTACATCGAGTGACAGTGACACTTGCTCCAAATCACTAAAGCCTCCAGGTTCGTAGATATTGGCTGTTGTGCCACTTTGAGCTCACCCCTAGTCCGCAGGATCCTGCTCAATGGCCTGCGCCAAATCAGGCCGCCGCTAGAGCCGCTAGTTGCTAGCTCTCACTCTTCATCTCCCGCTCTATGGAAGTAATATGAAGTAATGGATCAGGGAATCAGAGCCACCGAGAAGTCATGTGGGCAGTTTAAACATGCTTATAGCGACGGACAATCACTTAGAACAAATTTTTTTCCAAAATTCTGAAACCCACACTTAGAACACGACAAATATCAAG